TAAATTATCACCCGAAATGTTGACACTAACAGGGGCTACAAATTAAACCATTTTCATATTTTTAACGAATTTTAGGGGTCTAAGTCCTGAAATCACGTTACAAACAATTTTTGTTAAGCATTTCGTAAAAAAAAACATTATTTAGTTCAATTTACAAATTTTCTTAGAGTTTTTTTGATCGAGAAAAAATTGAACTTTGTCACAAAAAAAATGCTTTATTTATGATAATTTATCAAGCAAATTGTAAAAAAGTCGAAGAGTTACTATAAGATTCAGTAGTTTTGGTCAAATAACGATTGATGACCTGAAAAATTTTCTGTCATAAATGGAAAATTCATGAGAAAAATATTTGAAAAATTAATCTTCATATCAAAAATCGAAACAAATTAGGTAAATGTTTTTGGAGAATTTTACATAAGGTGAGTTAATTTGAACCTTAAAACTGCTGAGAAAATTAATTTTTGTCATTCACTTGAGTAAAGTTTACAAACGACTTTCATTAAGTAGTTGAAGCGGTTTTCATCAATTATTTTTACGATTTACTGTAAAAACAATATTTAGTTCAATTTTAGAGTTGGTATTTTTAAATTAAAAAATATTCAACATGTAAATTCGAATATAACTTGTAAACTAATGAGAATTTTGCGGTTTTTTTTAAGGCTAATCGACTTCCGGAGACATTAACCTTAAGACATTATAACTTTTAAAGTACAGTTTTGTCGGAATTTACAAAAATAAAAAAGTTGGGAGCGTTTTTGAGTAACAAAATTTCAAAATTGTGTGCTCGATTACTAAATATAACAATTACCCAATAAATTTGTAGTAATTATAATTTGCAGTCCTGAAAATGGATTAATTTTATGTTAAATTCAAAATTAAATTACTTTTAAGAAGAAAGTWTTGCGTTATTTATCAATTTTGGATGGTTTAAGTTGTCAAAAATTCTAAATTTAAGTAATTCAGTWTTTTATGTGCATTGATAATTTTAAAGATTGTAAATTTTTGATAATTTTTAATAAAATTCTGACTGTAGATTAAGATTTTTATAGTTTTATTCAGCAGTTTTAAGGTCCTAAAATAA